AAAGGCAACATAAACGGGACATTCTTTCGGCCAAGTGTTTCGCGTGGACGCGTCGCTCTCCTTCTAAACTTATCTAACTTATTCTAAAACGACCCTGCGTAGGATAGCATGCAACCTTTATGAGCTTCAAGATCGACTCCGCTATCAGGCCACGCAAGAAACATCAAATAGTGATAAAAATCATGTGGCGGCAACACTACCACCATCTCCTTTCCCGAAAACGTTCTTTAGACAGCAGGGCCCTAACGACGGAGTTGACATAAAATTCCGCGTGTTTTCGGACGGCGTTCTCAAGACCTTTGATCACTACCGCGATAGGAAGTTTATCTCTAACCTTACAGCCCCACAAAAATGTGGCATGCGGGAAATTAGAGAATTAATAAACTCGAAAACAATAAGATTGTCTGTTAGTGACAAGAAGGGAGAGTTCGTAGTTATCCCTCGCCAGCTGGATGTTGAGATAACAGAGGAACATCTTAGTGATGCTACTCTCTTTCGCCCAACCTCTGAAAAGGAATATAAAAGTCAATACCGAAAACTAAACAATCAATGGGTCAGCGTGGCAAAGGCTGCGGGTTTAAAATCATCGGTTATTTCGCACTTTAAAATCGATAGACCAACATGTCCCGTCCTATACCTACTTATTAAAACACATAAGTTGGTATCACCTGATGATCATGCGTCAACCAATCCGTCATCATTTAAGGTTAGACCGATCATCAGCTGTGTAGACGGACCAACGGATAGAATAACCTGGTTTTTAAGCCTGATACTTACCGAGTTGCTTAACCACATTCCAGCTCGCCTCACAAACACCCAAATGTTTCTAGAACGTCTACGTAACGCGTCTCCTAATAACGCGTACGTGATGCAGTCTCTCGACGTTATCGCACTGTACACCAACGTGTCGAATGACTCCGCAATGCAAGCCATCTTCGCACTTCTTGTTGAACATGAAGGAAGAATAAATATGCATGGCTTGTCCATCCAGTAGCTAATGGCTCTCTTAAAGGAGTGCCTAAACTGCTCGATTTTCAGATGGTCTGGGAAATATTTCGCGCAAATAAGGCGGTTGGCAATGGGACAGCGATTGGCACCAAACCTGGCCATTGTGTTTATGTCTAAGATAGAAGTCCCTGTTTCCGATCTCCGGCCACTACTCTACTGCAGATATGTAAATGATTGTTTTGTCGTCTCCTCTACGCAGGAGGAGATGGACAAATGCTTTGAATTATTGAACGAGCAGTCCGAGTACATAAAGTTCACCCGGGAGAAACCGAGAAAAAACTGGCTTCCGTTTTTGGACGTTCAAATAAAACTATCAAGCAGCGGTAACCTGACAAAGTGGTATCGAAAGCCAAGTAACGAGAACATTTTGTTCATTTCCTTTCTTCCTACTCTTCACACACAAAGAGGGCGATTGTGAGAAACATGTTTCGAACAGCCACCTCTGTGTGCACTACCAGGGAACTAAAGGAAGAATCGCGCGACTAGGCTCGGCAAATAGCCATCTCCAATGGCTACGAAATAGTAACCCCACGAGATAAGTTTGGAAGGAGAGCGACGCGCCTACGCGAAACACTTGGCCAAAACAAAATCCCGTTTGTGTTGCCTTTTATAAGCGATGAAGTAAGCGCAGCTATAAAACGATGCTTAAGAAGGGCAGGTCTAGAGGAATCGGTAGCGATAGTTGAAATACCACCGACTACTCTACGTCGCCAATTAGTTCGCAACCGCCTGTATGATCGTCTGTGTGAAACAACAAATTGCGTAATTTGTCCTTACGGCAGGGACGGTGATTGCATGAGTTCAGGTACGATATACCTGATCTCTTGTAATAATTGAGGAGATGAATATATTGGCGAAACGGGCAGACCTTTGTGTACCCGTATAGAAGAACACCTAGATAGCAAGCGAAAACTAAGACGAAGCACCCCACTAGGCACGCATAGGGTACAAAAGCATAGCGGAGACGATTTTGAAGTAAAGTCAATATCCTTGCACAGGAGTTCAAAACACCAGCGCGAAAACTTGTTGAGGCTTTTTGGATAAATGCCAAAAACCCTACAATGAATAGTAGAGATGAATGCCCGGAGGTCATGCGCGACCTGATCCCGTACGTTCGCATCGATTTTTGAGGTGGGATGGTGCAGTCGTCAACCACATGCGACTATAATCAGCTGTTCTAAACTTCCTCATTGGAAGTCACGAAAAAGCGGTGAGTTTTTCGAGAAGCTGTTGATCATGTAAATACCATAGAGTTTCTCGTCTTTTGGGGTTATTGAAGCGTTTGGCCTATTAGATTGTATATCAGTATACACTTCCAGGCTCTGAAGAAGGCGATACTGCCGAAACGTCATCAAGTGTTGTATTGTATTGTGTTCTTCTATGGAAGTAAATGTGTGCTGTTTAAAAACCTCGCGATTGCTGAAGAAGAAAGCTGTAATACTGTAAACGAAAACCAATAAACAAAAACTGCAAACGAGAAGATTCCTGGGGATGTCAAACGCACAGACAAACAGAGGAAGACCACTGACCCAATCGTCGGAGTTATTCGTGAAAATGGCAGAGGAATATTGTGTTCAGAGAGTTCATAGAGTTAGCAGAACCCTCTAAGCCTCTCTTAAACATGACAGCAACAAATGAAAAATTAACTGGCGCCCTTTCTATTGACTCTATGTTAACCAGAGGGAAAGGTGATACACAGGATACTTTATTTATTTGCACGTTCAACTTTTAAACACCTGCATAGTCTGAGTAGAATTTGGAATTTGGTTGGAGCCGTTAGGTATGGTTCTATAAAAACTTAGTGCTTATTTCGGAACACGCATCTAGAAGATCTCGTCCAGAAATAGAATGGGAGACGATTTTATCGGAATTTAAGAGGTTTTAGGGGACTAACGAATTTTTACGAATTGGATAGCATCCATGATGCATTTTATGTTTCTACTTCTGCCTTGCTAAATATAAGTTAACTCCTATGCTAATTGTTGACAAAATTGCTAAGCCTCTCACACGCTAGGGGCGTGGCAAGCGCATTGGTTAGAGATGCTACCCAATACAGATGTAGTTTCTGCTTTGAAGTCGCACCGAGCCGGCCCAGCTATGTATCCTTCCATACGCGGCGAGTTCGTACTAGAATTTTCTGAAGGTAAAGAAAAATTCACAAGTGACTGTGGAGAGCACATGCAAAATCCGAAAGCTTTCGTGAAAGATGGATGGAGACAACGAACGGAGTGAAGGAAACATCTGAGATCTCCACGAGATTTGAAACCTGCTTATGGAAAAAATGAGGTTATAGAGGAATAAGAAAGCTTGTAAAGTGGAATAACGCTTCGGATCACTACGTAGCCTTCGCGTTTAGTTCAGGCCTTACCCAACAAGTGGTTAGTTTGTGATAACTCTGGAGTAACCATTAAGAAAACTAGTGTACCACTTGGAGGTTATGTATTCAGGAGTAAAAAGTGATAAAATATTAAAGAATTAATAGAAGTCTACTTTTCTTACCCGATTTTGGCGTTTAATTCTTAACGTATTTTGAATTTTGACCTTTTTGCTATCGACAAATTTTGCGTTGTTCACATAACCATTGAGAACATCTGCTTTGTGACCAAATTTTTCAGTTCCAGCTCCAGCTGTTTCTTGTCACTTAATTTATTCTAAGATCGTTGACAGACTTTTCAAGGTGTCCAAGGTCATATCAGAAACCCATGTCGCCCTGTTTTTTTTGAACTGCCAGTCGTCTTAATTATTTTGTCCGTCTTAATTATTTTGTTTTTATTACTTTTTATGTCCCTAATAACAAATACGGATGATATTTAAACAAAGCAGAGAGATCGCACATGAGCAGCATTGCTTTGGAAAAGATGGTATCCGAGGTGTCCTAAAGGAGATTGATGAATCAATTGAAAAAGATTCATCAATCAAAGATTCATCAAACAATCAAATCAAAAGAATCATCAAAGATTGCTTTCAGAAAACTCGTGTAGAGAATCTTTTTGATAGTGGGTGTTTCTGTTCTCGGTGACCCTTGCTAACGACTTTAAATTGTTAGCGAAAATGAGAGTAATTTGGCAAATTGATGTGCCCAGTGATAATTTGCAATCATTCCTAGTGGGAAGTTGCCTCAAAATGCTCAACTATCTACATTTATAAGGTTAGAAAAAAACGTTGTGGATGATTTGATGCACAGATAAAGTGATACTAATACGAAAGCAAAGCTCGGAACCTCAGCTAGACTTCGAACCTGCGGCTACCATTAGAGGACGCTCACGTGCTACACACTGCACCATCGACGCTCTCGCTTTGCGTTTCTTTCAGTATTTTTAACTCTATCGGTTCTGTCTGTCATCGTCCGTGAACGTCAGCATCCTTGTGGTTTCACTACACATCGTAGCCTAACATTACAAAAGAATAGGCTCTAAATAAAAGCTGGGACATTCCGAGTGGTTGCCAAAGTTACTCATTTTGAAAAAATTGATAAAGAAGTTAATGAGAAGGCTATTGCCTATCCGTCCAAAGCAGATATCTCTAAAAAGTAAGAACCGTTCCTTTCCATCAAATCAGTTGTAGTGTTTGTTTCGAAATGTTTACTAAGAATTGTGCGCAAGGCATAATGAGTATTTTACCATCATTCATAGTAAAGTTGTTGTGATGTGGTTAGCCACAATATTCACTAACTACCTGTTACGTCTCGAGGACTTAATATTTATCGTTTTTTTCTAACAATGTTGAAGAAGCCTCCCAACTAGGTGTATTTCTTAAAATATTTTAACAGATCAGTTCGATGAAGGCTAGAGACTTATTTTTACTTGTATTCTTCTTCTTTGTATTTTCTTGATTCAGTTTTAATAGATTTCCATGTCTATGCAAGTGAGTACAGCATTCTAGGTAAACGAATACTGTATTGGCATATTTGTAACACATCTATATATATATATATATATCTACAGAAATTCAAATATCTTACACAAGTGCGAGATGAAAGAAAAGAAATATCTTCAACGTCCCCAGTAAGGTCCATATCCCCATGGACCTCCCCATCCCCATGGTCGACGCCACCATGGACGGCGCCATCCCCATGGACCGCCCCATGGTCCACCCCATGGGCCTCCCCATGGACCAAATTGTCGTTTGACACGCAACAGTGGTACTCTGAAAGTAATAGCAGTTTTCGTTACATTTATAATTCTGTAGAATGCAGTCAAAGTGCTCAAAAAAATCTTACCTGTCAAGTATGGTTGTGCTATCATCATTATCTACATTGGTCAAAATTAACTGAGAGGAAATCACTGCTAACAAGCAGAAGAACATGCAGACACTCAGCAGACGCATTCTGAAGAAATTTAAAGTTAGAATAGTTGAGAGTAAATCTCTCTGTTAGCTTGATCATGGAGATATTACGTAAATCGTCAAACTTCCAATGCTCTAACCAGAAAAAATCGCCTGAAAATGAGGTAGATAGCAGGAAAAGGAGAAAAGGGTGAAAATAGCGCGAATAAAACAAGGTTGTTTTAACCTTACTTTTTTTGGAAAGCTTTTACCAAGTTTGTAAGGAAGAATGAAAAAGTGGTAACACCAAATGATGGAGCGAGCTGTGACTGTTGTGACGATGCCAAAGTCCGATGTTTTTAACACTGTTTTGCTCAAGTTTTCCTTCTGAAAAATGATAAAAGCCGGTTTTTATCGCGTTCTTCCCTTAAACGGTAGGCATCGTCAGTTATGTGACATAGAAGACAATCGATTTCTTTCAATCGAAAAATTTTTATACAACGCATCTGTTAAAATATTGGAAGCAACGATTCTTCCTCATGAAGCCACCGTGCACCTCTTAGGTTGCGAGCAAAACGTTGATCAGAAACGACCATGCACTTTCTGTAAATGGTAGTACGGCTCAAGCCATTGGCTTCTGGCCTGCGCTGTGCTGGACTGAGTTGAACCTGTCTTAAAAGTATTTGCTCTTGGATGTGCTCAAAGAAAACATGGCTGCCAATACTGTCACTCTTGTCCGTTTCTTTAAAATTGAGCAATCAAGAGACTGGAACCCGAATGAGGTCTGATTGGAGATCGTGTCAAACAAATAAGCTCCATATTACTAGAAATAATCGTCTAGTTAACTGTAAGTACACTCTGGCCTGTCCTCCCATCCACCACGACAGAACCTAGCGATCTCTGAGTATTTACTTGTGAGAAATTATCCTAATGGTGAGAACAAAGGATCTCCCTCAAAACTGAAATATTTTTCTGGTCGTCCGCACAAGTGGAGCAAATTCAGAGACTGTGGTAGAAGTTTACTAGTATTCGGTCTGACTGACTCTGTCGTAAGGAAAACCCAAGTTGATGCCTATGGCATAATAGAAGCTCTTTCTGTCAAAAAACTCTATTGTCCTTTGATGTGGTAAAGATGTGTTAGCGCCTCTTGGTTACTTTAATTGTTTCTTTATCATTTTCTTTTATTTGCATATTTTTCTAAGAGTTTTATTTTTCGTTTTATCTCATCGGTTATTATATTTTTTATTTTTGGTGTTGCTTAAGAAACATAATTAAAATAACAAGTCGCATATCGTAAACAAACACTTCCATACTTAAGTTACAATTCGTAAATTATAGAAAATATTATCAAATAAAAAGTTTTGTCAACAAGGCTGTGGCCTAATATGTTCTTTGGTGTCAAATTACGATGTACATTGAGCGTTTCCTTAACAACATCCAAGCCCGAGAAAACTCATAAGAGATCTCCAAGGCATTGCTCACCTCAGAGTTAGCCTTGCCACTACCAAATGCCAAGAATCTGGCCGTAGCCGCCTTGTTGGCAATCATGCTAAGAAAAGTCATTATTTAGGGAGGCGTCATGGTATTCGTGGTTACAATCGACCGGATCCAACACAGTAGAATAGGTGACAAACAAATTCTAAAAAAGTTCTCAGCTGCTGAATGCATCTGCTACGTGATTACAGATCATCACAGACAGACGTAATCTCTAGCCCAAGTTACAAATTATCTGCGACATACTTGATTATCCATGCTTTCGTGAGATAGTTTACCAATAAGAATAAAAAATTGATCAACCATCCTCAGTATAAACGTTTGTCGATTTTTCTGCCTAATTGATTGAAACGAAGCTTAACTTAACCTTCAATCGATGCTTTTCATTTAGAGTAGAAGCTACTGCAAAATTTCGAGCAAAATTCGGTAATGAGCTGTGATTCTGATAAGAGACATGGATGATGTTAACGGCTAAGTCGAAAAGACGACACAAATGTGAAGCCGTGACGAATGAGGAAGATGTGCACGACAGACGCAATTCTTCCGCCTTAAATACGACGAAAGAACTGATAAGCACTTGATGTTATCACCATGTTTCTCCTTTCAGATAACATTTACTCGCCGAATAAGAAACGTCTCGTCGACAACGAATGCTTCATGCAACGTTTTAAATCGCTCAAAAAAAACATGATTTCGAAAGAAACGATCAGTCATTATCGCCTTAATTGCTGCTTGACTTCTTACAATGTTGCCGGATTTTCATTCATTATGGGATTTTACAGTGTTATAAATACAATTTTTTAGAAAAATTATCCAAATGCGCCTTTACGATATTATTCTCATAGGATGCTATAAATCACGTAGGGGCATACATGCATTGTTTCTTGTAATTACCACAGTTCTGAACTGTAGTTTTTCTTCAGTGTCAACCCTACACCCTTTCCAGTGACCCTTACCCAATATGAGCTTAATTATCGTCTGCCCGCTCTCAGGTGTTTAATAGAGCAGATGGGTAAAGCTCTCGGCTTTGATCAACCTATGAGGGATAGGCCGTGCATTTAACTTCGTTAAGCTTGTACTTCAAGGCTCCTCTAATCGTTGCGCTACACCAGCCCCGTTAAGAAATGTACCAACCATAAAGTCTCCATTTATTTCATTCAAGTAAAGAGTGATTCAATGGATTCTTGTAATAGTTCCCAGGATCGACTTTCTATTAACCTCGGCATTGGAATATGAATGTGTCGTTTTCGTGTTCAGCAATGAAAAAAGCGGCTCTGAAAGACAGGCGATACTGCCGAAACGTCAGCTAGCGTTGTATTGTATTGTGTTTTTTATGGAAGTAAATGTATGCTGTTTAAAAACCTCGCGATTGATGAACAAGAAAACCACACATTCAATGGATTCTGCTCATTCTTACTACTTATGGTGCATCATCATTTTCCTCTAGGATCTTCGTGATGAACTGGGTAATCGGATCTGTATTTACTACGCAGTTCGCCCGATGTCACGTCGTAACCAGCTACTAACAACTGTCTTCCATCTTCTGCCGTTCGACGCGCTGTCTGTCTTGTCCTGAATTTCATGATCTTGGCGTATGCAGTAGCGACTCCGACCTAGGGTCATTCATGTAGTTGCAGTTTGAACACTGAATACCTTCTATTATCTCTGTGGTACGAGATTATCTCAGCATCGTCCTCTCCATCGCACATTCGATAACGCTGAGTGGTCTCTCATTTCATTACAATAGCTTCCAGAGCTCGATGGCATGTGTTAAAGCAGGAAAAAATCGTACAGTAAAAACCTATGTTTGGAAACGGTTGCTGATTACTTTAGTACATCGTCGATACTTTAACTTTTCGAGTTTCTAGTTTAGTTCTGCTCAGCTACACAAAAAAATTGTTTATTGCATCAAGTTCCTGACTCATGTACGCATAGCTGGAACATTTAGAGACATTCGTCCTATTGAGCGTCAACTGAATGAAAAGGCGAATCGGTTTTTCCAATAATAAACTTGAGAGAAACGATCCCTTGTAGGTTCTCCATACAGAGTTTCATTGTCATGAAGATATGATCTATCACGAAGGGCGTTTTCTGAGAGCCTGATGGCGTGATTGGCTTCACTTTCCTATTATATCACTTATAACGTTGTGATGAGGTGACTGTGGTGAACTGATGTGGAATTGCGCAAATATTCCGGTTTAATTCTGCTTCGACAGAACGTTATGCGGTTCATGCCATCAAGAGAGCATGTCGGATTACGAAAAGAAGAACAGCTACGAGAACTATCACATTCTTAATGAGCTAATATGAAAAAGAAGCCAAATCTATGACAGAAATCGGGTTATAAGTCGTCGCCAATCTTCTTCACTGCCTTTCGGATGCTGTAGCTCTGTCATTTCAAAACAGAAGAGCGGTCGTTTCGGGATTGTCATTGTCGGATTTCCTGTGAATCCATGCATTTTCTCCAACATCTGTGCACTCCAACATTAAGTTCGTTTCTTCACCTGAAGGGTACGACATATCCATTGTATGACACGAATGTATGAAATACTTGATGACCTCAAGGTGAGGTCGAATCAGCGCCTTGCCGGAAAATAGCGGAAACACTCCCAGAGACAGAGTCTGTTGACCTATTTAAACTTCTTCAAATCGTTGTAGAATGGTTCGAACTCCTCTTCGTCATCGTCACATGTGGTATGGACGAAGAAGAGTTTCAGTTCGAGCACTGCGTCACGTGTGTCCAACTGTAAACGTATGATGTGAATCTTAAGGTGTTCATAGAAACCGATGCCTATATCTCAGTTAGCGATAAGGAGAAGATAATGCAACCGATTCTATCTTTATCGTACCATTGGGTAAAAAGTTGTGGAAAACCTTTAATGTTGTTCAATTAGTGGCGTCACAGCTCAATACGGCACAGCAGACGCACGGAGTGCTTTCCTAAAATCCTTCTATATCCCAGGATAAGCACATGTTTTCTGTAGACCAGTGTTAACCTATCTCCTTAACTCTTACCTTAACAGGGCCATCACATCTTCGCGAAACCTGTTTTCGCAAAATTTTTCAATGTTTTAACCTAACAACTGACAAAAGTATTGTGCTCGAAAGGAACACCGTCTAGCGATGAACACTTTATAACACACAAAACAGTGTTCATCAAAAAAAAATCGGCAATAGCAGAGACTAATCCAATGGTTTCTCCAGTGTTGTATTAACTTCGCGCTGTTCAGATTCACCAGAATTTGTATTGTTGCTGGAATTGATAGAATAAGACCACACAAATATAGATGAAAGTGGAGTGACAGAATATTTTGTAGAAATCGTAGTAACTCTAGAACTAGAACTTTGCTGAACAGAAGTAGGAAGAATTTTGTAGAACGATTTCGTCAGAGGTATACACTAAAAACAAAACCTTTCTGCCATCTCAGAACTTGCTGGCATATAGCTCACTGCAACAGAACAAACGGCAAACAGAACGATCAGGATGTAGGCGATCAGAATACGCGTACTGCTCGTCTGAACGTGTGCAAGATAAAGACGATCTAGTTTCTCTGCTTAAACTTTTATAC